TAAACGATGGGGGAAATTCCTCAAAGAAACCCATCGCTGTGTGAATTCGTTGTTGTATGAAGCAATCATTGTGCAAGGCACCACTGTAATTCTTTATGATAGTGGTGTTTGTTCCAAGTGGTGTTCAATTATAAATCATAAACTGCCTTTTATCAAAAACTGCTGAAGTCAATACAATGAAACTTCATTATACTGATACTTGGTTTCTATATTCCAGTAGTGGAACAATAATTCTCAGCCTTCAGCTCAAAGTGTTCGATTACATTTCCAAGCATATTTAACCAACATATGCTACATATGGAAAGCAGGGCTCTGCCATAGAACTACAGTGGGGTCTCTACTTAAGAACATCTCTACTTAAGAACGATCCAACTTAAGAACAGCTCCATTTGCTAAATTTTGCTTCTACTTGAGAACAGAAATCCAAGATAAGAACAGGAAAAAAAACTTTCCTGCTCTTTTTTTAACCTTAGGTCATCTTAGGTTAAAAAAAAATTCTCCTCCTAGTGGTAGAGTACATATTAACCAGCTTTGCATTAGTTCCTATGGGAACTAATGCTTCAATGTACAAACGCACCTCTACATAACAAAAAAACAGCCAGAACGGATTAATTGATTTTCAGTCCATTCCTATGGGAAATCTTGCTTCAACTTAAGAATGTTTCAACTTAAGAACACCATTCCAAAACGGATTAAGTTCTTAAGTAGAGGTTCCACTGTAGTTTCTATGGACGGAAAAGAGCAGATACGGATTAAATGGTTTTCAATGCATTCCTATGGGAAATGCAGATTCAACATAAGAACTTTTCAACTTGAGAACCACCTTCCAATACGGATTAAGTTCTTAAGTAGAGACCCCACTGTATGAGCCCTTGCTTATTGCACACACAAAATTTAGCTGATCTGTACACTGAGGATCAGATTGACAGGTAAGGCAACAAATATTTTTTTTTGTTTTCATCACAGAAATGGTCTGAGTGCTCATGTGTGGTCAGAAGACTGGTCAGTCTTCTGAAGGAGGAATGAGCAACTTGTGGCCCTTCAGATGTTTTTAGGATACAGTTCCCACCATCGCTTACTTTTGGCTTCTTTGCCTGCTAGGGCCGATGGAAGGTGAAGTCCACCAACATTTCAAGAGCTGAATTGGCTACACACATTTTAATGGTGTTTATATGCAGTCTGACAGAACTGTCGACCTGCATGTAAGATATTTGGCTTCACGTGCTTGGCCAATTTTCCTATATATATGATTTTAACACAAACACAGAATGTGAGAGAGAGAATGAATAAGTGGCAGTCAAGGTAATACTATGCTGCCTGAAGAAATTGTGCTACAAAAAGCTGGAGTGGGGACTAATTTCTTGATGTGGTAGGTGATTTTCCTCATATTGTGCAATGTACAACAAAGGGCCGGTGATCAGGGAAAAACTAATGCAAGCACATTGTAGTAATAAGCATCATGTAAATATAGACAGCCTCAGGATTTTCAGTTCCATATTCCATCACACATTAGGCCTCCTCCTCTTCTGGCAAGATCTGCTGCAATAAGAATAATCCAAACTGATACAACGACTACTGTCCCCATTCATAGATCTCTCTCTCTCTCTCTCTCTCTCTCTCTCTCTCTCTCTCTCTCTCTCTCTCTCTCTCTCTCTCTCTCTCTCTCTCTCTCTCTCTCTCTCTCTCTCTCTCTCTCTCTCTCTCTCTCTCTCTCTCTCTCTCTCTGTGTGTGTGTGTGTGTGAGAGAGAGAGAGAGAGAGAGTGTGCAATGCCAAAAAAAAGGAGGGGACATAGAAGTATTTGCAAGAGATGTCATGCTTTGCTGTTACTTTATCCTTCTCCCCACACCTCAGTTGCTTCTTCCCTCCTAACATTTTGTTTAGAATTTATTTATTTATTTATTTCATTTATACCCCACCTATCTAGTCAGTTGTGACCACTCTAGGCGGCTTACAACATACACTATAACATTAAACATATGACATATCACATAACATAATTTGCATTAAAAAATAACATAAAATAAAATTTTCCCAAAGATGGCAAGAAACAGGGTTTATTATAGCAGAAAGGAAAAAGAATAAAAAACTATAATTGGGTATTAGCTGGAAAGGAGGAAGGCCTGCCTGAACATCCATGTTTTCAGTTGTTCCTTAAAAATACCCAGCGAGGGGGATGCACAAATCTCAGGTGGTACGTTGTTCCAGAGGCGAGGAGCCACTGCCGAGAAGGCCCGGTTTCTTGTTTTTTCCTTCCGGGCCTCCCTCGGCGTCAGGCTCCTCAGCCTCACCTCCTGACTCGCACGGGTGACACGCGTAGAACTGGGTGGGAGTAAGCATTCCGCCAAGTATCGAGGCCCTAAACCGTTTAGGGCTTTAAACGTGAGTGTCAAAACTTTGAAGTCAACGCGGAACCGAATGGGCAGCCAATGCAGCGCGGCCAGAATAGGAGAGATGTGATGGTATCTTCGCGCTCCACTTAGGAGTCTGGCCGCTGCATTCTGCACCACTTGGAGTTTCCACGTCAGCCTCAAAGGTAGCCCCACGTAGAGCGCATTGCAGTGGTCTAATCTTGAGATTACGAGCGCGTGGACCAAGGTGGTGAGTGCCCCCACATCGAGATAGAGTCGCAGCCGGGCTATCCGCCAGAGGTGAAAAAAGGCGGTGCGGACCACCAACGCCACCTGAGTCTCCGTGGAGAGTGCCGGGTCCAGATGGATCCCCAGACTGCGAACCCCACTCTTTGTGGCGAGTGTCACCCCCCCAAACGAGAGGGAGTCACCCAAGCCGCCAACAGCAGGGGGACCCACCCTCAAGACCTCCGTCTTGTCCAGGTTCAGAACAGCCCATTCTCCTGCATCCACTCCAGTACAGTCCCCAAGCAGCGCTGGAGGGACAGGACGGCATCACCTGCAGTTGGTGAAAAGGAGATGTAGAGCTGGGTGTCATCCGCATACTGATGACACGAAGCCCCACATCCCCTGATGACCCCACCCAGTGGCCTCATAAAGATATTAAACAGCATTGGGGAGATAATCGACCCCTGTGGAACCCCACAATTGAGACTCCACGGGGCCAAGACACTCTCCCCAAGCTGTACTCTCTGGGGACAGTCCTCCAAGAAGGAACGGAGCCAAGCAAGCGCCAGGCCACCAATTCCCAGCTCGGAGAGCCTCCCCAGGAGGATACCATGGTCGACGGTATCAAAGGCCGCCGAGATGTCAAGAAGAACTAACAGAGAAGTTTTTCCCCTGTCGGCCTCCCTCAATAGGTCATCGTACAGGGCGACCAATGCCGTCTCTGTTCCATGGCGCAGCCTGAAGCCCGACTGAAATGGATCCAGGGCATCCGTTTCTTCCAAGATAGCTTGAAGCTGATCGGCCACCACCCGATGTTTCTATGCCACCTTTTCACTGCAAACTAAAAGCTAAAACGGTAAGAGTACAGTACAAATATTTTAAAATAACTGAATAAGTATTATATTAAAATGGTAACTAACTTCAATATTAAAACACATTTAAAACCACAGAACACAACAGTCCATTTAAAACCCCTCTCAGACCACCAGTCATTAAGGAAAGCCTGCCAGAAGAGAGCTTCCACATGTTTTTGAGGTTGTGGCACCTGGAACTCGTGGGTGGCAAAAGCCTGTTGAACAGTGACGTCAAGACTTTTTCGGAAGGCAGTAGACCCTCTTTCACTGGAGGTTTTTAAATAGGGGTTGGATGTACTGGATGGACTAGGGGTCCCTTCCAACGCCACCATTCTGACTCTGATTCAGTACATATGGTAGTAAACTGCTTTGACATACAGATGTAAAGAAGGACGAAAATGAAATTTAAGGCAAACATATGTTGAGTATGCTAGATCAGTCATTTTCAACAGGGCCCACACCGGAAAAACATCTGAAGGAGGTCACAGACTGAGAACAATTTTTCACATACCACCTTACAAAGTTTGTTATGCAACTTATACTTTGTAATCCAAAAAAAGTAACTCTTCCAAGCTCTGCTCTGAAATCCTTAAGGATGGAACAAGGAAGATTTTGAGAAGAGCATTTTGAAAAGCTGACTGCTAACTACTAAAGGCATAAATACTTAGAAACAATTTCCTCAATCCTGGCGCCCTCCAGATATCTTGGAGTACAGCTCTTATCATACTATCGCTCCCAACACGCTGAAGCCGGTCTATATGTATGCCTGATATTCCAGATCCCGACTTATGTTGACCCTAGTAGCATTTTCAATACATGTGAGACATTTCAAGGGTGGCTTTACCAGTGCCACTCTCCCAAGTAAGTTTCATGGCCAAGTGGACATACTGTAAGTCTGACTCCAAGATTCCATCCAGGATGACTACACTATTCTGCTCTGAGCCAGCATGATCGCTGGCTATGAGGATGGAGGATGGCAGGCGTTGTAGATCAAAATTCCTGCAAGACACCAGGT